AAGAAGGAATTGGCGAGAGTGTCAGTCGGAGAGATACCATGGCATCGCTGAGATAGATGGCGGTGCCTTTGTGGGCTAATAGCCTAGTGCTTTTATTTTCTGCATAGTAAATATTATCGTCTTGCTGTTTACAACTTTGATCTCATGGGATTTTTCGTGACGACTGTAGATCTTGCATTTATTCTTTCATGTTTGGATGCAATGTGTCATGGTCGAGAGGCACGCACCGGATGAGAGCCATTCTCTCGTGTACAAGACTGGAATGAATTTCGCTAACTGGAGCCACAGCCTCTATGCATTAGACACGAAACTCTTCCGAGACTAGGGCCACTCAGTCACCCAGCCATGCTACCATGCCCAAAACTGCGTCGCTATGCATATACGCTCTATTGAAACACTTGACCCCTTTCCTCTTCATGCTCCATGAAAACTCCACTCACGACGTCGACTTCGTCAGCAAGAAACCGACATTACACTCCTGTTCCTTCAGCACATCAAGAAACACATCATCATCAATTGCCGCCGCCATATTATCCACAAGCCCATCTTCTGCATCCTCATCTCCCTCGCTCTTCTTCATCCCCTTGAGGACCTTGGTATCAATATGCCGATACTCCATCAACATCCTCAACTTAGGTTGTTTCGCCGCGCGTCTAGCCTTAATCTTGGCCTCTTGCTCTTCAATGTTGACTTCGCTTGCTTTCGTGAGGGTGGGGTAGGGGTCTTCGTCCGAGTCTTCGATGTCGTCTTCGGGCGTTTCCGCTTCTTCTTCCTCAGCTTCGAGCTTGACTTCTGGTGAGCCCTTACAATCGCATGTGCAGCCGAGTATGTCGTGGGTCTGGCATCCTTCACGCTCGTCGAGACGAAAGAGGTCGCGGAGTTCTTCTTGCGAGAAGGAGGATGCGGAGGCTTTGTTGTCTACGACGGCGTTTGCGAGACCCATTTTCATGACTTGGCGCTGGTAGATCTTCTCGTCTAGGCCACCCTGGATGAGGAATCTGTATACTTTACATGGCAGTTTCTGGCCATCGCGGTGGATACGTGCCATGGCTTGTAAATCGGTAGCGGGGTTCCAGTCGATGTCGAAGAGCACGATGCGAGATGCACCGATGAGGTTGAGACCGACTCCGCCGGACTTTGCAGAAAGTAGGAAGGCGAAAGACGTGGTCTTCGGGGTCTTGTTGAACTTCTCCACAAGTGCTTGGCGTTTGGTAGCTGGTGTGCTGCCATCGAGACGGAGGTAGGTGTATGACAACGACACTAAGAGTCGCTCGATCATGTCCAGTGTGGTAGTGTAGTTCGAAACAATGACAATCTTCTCCTCAGTGGTGGTATAGATCCGATGAACAAGGCTGTCAAGCAGTCGTAGCTTCGCACTCGAAGCACTTGAGCTGAGGATCTTGGGCGGTATCAGTGGGAGAAGCGATTGCAGCATCTCCGATGGCGTATCGTCGTTATCTTTCGATGATTTGAGCAACGAAGGGCTGTTGCAGACTTTCTTCAGCACATTGATGAGCTGTAGCGCAATGTCCGTACTTCCCAACGCTATTCTGAACGTTGGTGAGCCCAGTATGGCGCGATAAGCCTCTGCTTGTCCTTTGGTCGGCCTGCAGAAGACAATATGCTCAGTCTTCGGTGGGAGGTACTTTGCAAGCACTTCTGCTGTACGGCGAATCATGAATTGACTGGTGAGGGATACGAGCTCCTTCCATCGTGCCTCGCCCTTTTCGAGCTCTGCTTCACTTGCATCTGGCTGACGGCTGCGCACGATGGGCACTTCGAAGGAACGCTTGAAGGCTGATCGCTGCCCCAGTAGGCCGGGATTGACGAAGTCAATGGCAGTGAAGAACTCGCCCAGATCGTTCTGCAGTGGCGTACCCGATAAGATGATCCGCCGCTCGGTGTTGAGAGACTGGATCGCCTGCATAGCCTTGTTGTTAGCAGTCTTCAGCCTGTGGCCTTCATCTGCGATGACGATATCGACAGTCCCTTGCTTCATTTCCTCCTGCATAACACGCAGCATCTCGTATCCGACGATCATGATGTTGTAGGCTTTGCCCTTTGTGAAGTTGGCAATCTTCTTGTTTTTTGCATCTAGCACGTAGACGCCAATTCTCTCATTGCCCAGCCATTTTCGGAATTCTCGCTTCCAGTTGTCGACCAGGCCGGCGGGGCATACGATGAGAGCTTTCTTGATGACCGGCGAGGCATTGTGTATCGGGTTCTGCTTCATGAGTGTCCAGAGCAGTGTGATTGTCTGCAGTGTTTTGCCCAGACCCATCTCGTCCGCCATAATTGCGCCTTCGCCCTCGCATCGCATGCCCATTACACATTCGTATAGGAACTGCACGCCCTCGCGTTGATGTTCGCGAAGATGCTTGCTGAGGACCGGATCAACTACAACGTCGACGATCTGCTTGTCTTTTGGACATGATTTCGGCCGCTTCATGACTAGAGCGTTCGGCGCGTTCGGATCGTGGCGTGGTTGTGGGATCGATGGGTTTCGTTGAGGCATGACGGTATTTGACAATAGAGGCGCCTTGAACTGCTGCTTGCGCTGAGCTGAGGGCTTGTAGTCTGGCAGATCCACACCATCGTCACCAGTATCTTTTCTCTTGTTTGCTTTCGACTTGGCCGACGAAAGAGGCTTGTATCCTGGTTCCTCGCGCTTCGACTGATCTACAGGCGCAGCTGCAGCCGTGCCCAGGAACATACGCCCAGCAAGGTAATCCGCCTTGTCAATGGACGCCTCAACTTCCAGCTCCTTTCCGCCGATGGATAGCGCGGAGCCTGGTAGCAGCGGTCGAGTGCATGCTCCTTTCCCTAATTCTTTTCCTGTCTCGCTATCCGTGAGCGTGGCATAGCCACCTGTCACAGCAAGAACCCCGTCTCCATCCCACGTCTTGTTCTTCTTAGTTGTGTATTTCCGCCATAGCACCGTGTAGTAGTTTCCTTCGAGACCCGGGGGCAGGAATTGGGCCGGTGCGGGGGCGTTCAGCGTGTTGAGCGGTTGGCGATTCCCGGCGGAAAGCGCGTTAGACGAAACTCTGGGTTTCTTCTTCAATGGCTCGCCAGTCTCTGAGCGAGGGCGAGCGAGGGTAAGAGGCCGGAAAGGCTTCATGGATTCGGGTGCTGGGGGTAATGCCGTGGGGTAGGAAAGTGCATGGTGTTGATGGTGGCGAGCGCGACGCGCCTTCCCAAGTTCGGTAAATTACGGCGCGTTATCACGTGATTGCACAATACTCAAACTCCCGCGGTCATAAGTGGGCTATGTATTGTACCCTACGGCATGTGACATATTCATAGAAGAGCCAGTTTCAAAGTAGAATGTCTTCAAAATCACATGCACTCCTCAAAATATATGGAACTGAGGATACGCAGTATGTCTAGCTTTCGCGACGATACTTCAAAGCCTACACACGCTCAACGCTTTTCAAGGTCCTTTATGCAGCCCGGGAAAGAGCCAACGGTACAGCATATCATTCTCAGAAGGTATACGTCCGCAGAACTACCCCACAACTACGTACAGCCGTGCTACTAAGATTAACAGACAGCTCATTTCAACAACCATGCCATAGTTTCCATCTGCATTCCAGTCTGAATGTTGAAAGTATATTGCATAAAGCCAGGAAATGACCTAAAGTCAACGTTGTGCCTGTACCGGTTGGCAGACAGAGCAGTCTCGCTCGCAGTTTCCAACGGTGTATTGAAGTCTTCAGCTCCATGATACCAGGTTATCGGATTTGCGTCAATATCTTCCAGGTTGAATCTACATTGTGGTTCGTGCTGTTAGTGAATGTTTTTCTTGTATGCAGCTGAGAGAATTGGAACTAACCCCCACGGTCGCGGAGCAAGCGACTTGTCGTTATTGTAGCCCGACCAATCCTGCCTTTGCATCTCTTCATAGTTTTTATTCAGAAGGTGAGTGTACTCGACATGGCTCTTTATATTCCTTTGGCGAAATCTTTGAAAGTAGCCTCCTGGGTCACGCAGGGCGGGCATCCAATCCTTGAATCCTTCGGCGACGCCACTTAATCCTGATCTTGCTTTCTTGGCTGCGAAATTCGGGTGACTAATGCCGCACATGATAGATGTCTTTTTGAGTCGGTGTTTAGGAAAATGGTAGGCCGCCGCTAGTGCATACGGCCCCTCTCTATCTACAGAAAGTATCTTGAACACTTGGACGCCGCGATAATCAAGCAGATGCTTGACGTCCCGTATGAAACCTAGCATTCCTCGGTCATGCAGTGAGGAATAGCTATAGCCCGGACGATTAATGGCTATGACGCGGATGCCGTGATTTACAGCAAACAGATGTACGTGCTTCTAGTTAAGTCGACTACTAGGAGTACCGTGAAACAGAACCCAGCATTGCCCTACCTCTGCTAGTCGGCCGAGTTGTGCGTAACTTAACATGGCTCCTGAGGGCAAGGTGATTATCTGGCTATCGTAGGGCCAGATTATAGCGGGTAGAAGCGTGTTGTTAAATCTACGCTGGGTTGGATTTCGCATCGAGCTTAGCTTGGGGTATAAAGGTTTCTTGCTCAGAGCTGATGCGTGTTGAAGCTGCGCCTGGCGTATTCGATGTATGTTGCATGCTGGACGGTACTAAGATCCTGTCGCTATTACCCGTCGAGCGCCAGCAAGGGCGTTTCCAAATTTTGGCTCCATGGTTGTAGTTAGTTAGGTGGACGGTCCTGCGCACTACTTAATCAACAAGTGTCTGACGAAAACCAAGAGCTGGCATATCGGGAGGTTTTCAATGAAAGTTCCGAGGTATATGTCGAGACAGACGGAATCCGGGTTGTTGTTGGGTGCGCCTGCATACGGAAGGAGCTGTGCCACATCTTGTCTAGTCCATATACGGCAATCCCTTACATCAGAGAATACGGCCCCCGACCCTCAGCTTCTCGACCTTGCCCTCTGCAGTCTTGAATTTTTGCAACCCACGGCAGTGCATTCTCAGTCTCCTACTACAACACCATATCGAATAGTTTCAAATGTCCTCTCAAAACCACGGAGTTGAGCTCTGCCTTAAGTTCAACTTCTGTCCACCAGCCACTCTCTCAATCTCTAACCCCTCGGCATCACCTTTGAAGCTGATCGCCACTATCCACCAAACCTCCTCGGTCTTCCCAGATAGACCCGTTACTATCTTGACCAAATACTCATGTCTCGACACTACGCCTCGTGAGGATGCGTTCCGCAAGGGCGCTATGCACTCACCGGAACTCGCATTTCCCTCCACCCGACAAGTAGATGGCTCTGCAAAAGTGCTTAACCTCCGGCCCACAAAGCGCATTACGTTCCATCGGATATCAGGCGACCCAGATCTTGCCAAACGCCCTGAAGATCCCGATACCCCTGGATTCACTTTCGTCACAATTCCTCCGGTAGGAAAAGGCTCTGTACAAGTTGCGTGGGAGCTCTCTGCTGAACGGCTTATGTCGAGTCTCGGCGACGACTCAACCTCGCTCCAAGAAAAGCTTGAACATTTTCTACGAGTCAGCGACACCTACCATGTCTGGCCCGGCGATCTTTCGATTCGATGGTGGTCATTTGGCTCCTTGGAAGACCCGGAAGGTTTGAAAGGCAAGAAAATCTCGCGCTTCAGCTTTTCTGGCGATCTGGGGTTAGATAGGGAAAAGGGAGCAGATGAAAGCGAAGAGGTTGTTAGTAAGATGCAAGATCTCATTGATCTGCACAACGTGAACAGCTTGTCTTCGAGAAGCGCCGTGGAAGGAGAAGAGAAGCCGGATATTAAGAAGATGAGGGAGGAAGGGTGGGTTTTCGGAGAACCGCCAGGGCTGTTGAAGATGATCGCGCAAGACGAAGAAAAAGTAGCGACTTTCAAGATCGTAGAGTAAGGCGGTTGGCTCGTTAGGCAAGTCTGTCAACAGTGCATTAAGACAATATACCTAAGCCATGCATACTTCGTTCTCAATCACGCGCTGCTTGAGATTGATATCGATATTTCCATCTTCCTGTTTGTGATGAGGAATCCGCAAAGTCAAGGGTTCGGGTCAATAGCGGAAAAAGCGAGTATTTGAATTGACTGTATGTAATAATTACATATTGCGTAAAATCTGCAACGCACGACGCATCTGGTTCCGTTGTAAAGTCATGTGGTTGTCGTGTGGATGTACGAAGAGCTCAGTGTTTCGTAGTCGATCGCGCATGTATCGCATGCCATCCGGAGGGTTTCGTACGTCCATGCCTCCAGCGAATATAACGATTCGGTTAGCATCTGTGTCCCTAAGCTCGAATGCCCAATAACGATGTGACGCGCAGTAATCATGGACATAGCCTGCAGGAGTACCATGTCTTGCATACCCCTCGATAATTTTGCGCCCCTGTTCAGTCTTGCGTAACTCCTCGGTGGGCGGATTTAGGGCCGCCAGGTTTTTCAAGAATTTCCTACTTACAATGGAGACTCTGAGCTCCATAAGAAAAGGGAAGATAGTGAGTAATCTCCATAGATAACGATTCATTGGCCGGCCAGTTCCACTCACCGGCAGGCCAGTCTTTGGTGCATCGATTGGAGCTACGGGAGCTATGAGCAGGGTGCCCTGAACTTGCACTTTGGTACAAATGTGAGTGAAAGCAAGAGCGTATGGGCCGCCACCCACAGCACCAATGACTTTATATCGTTCATGCCCAACATGATCCATCAACCTTTGAACATCATGGGCGTGTTTTGTTACCACGTAATTCTTGTCGATTGTAGATAAGCCATAACCTGGCCTTTCTGGACAAACGAGGGTGACGCCATTTTTCAATGCCCACTCGTGCAACATACGATAGTCAAGACGCGAGCCAGGAGTACCATGGAATGCAACAAAGACGGCTGCTCTCGGATGTCTGCTGCCATATATCGCATACCCAAGTTGACGTCCGTCAGGGAGCGTGATAGTCTGTGAGTCGCCAGGAGACATGCAATAGGATGGAGAAATTTGAAGGTTACCACGTCGCTATGTTCTTGAGAGAGCCGTCTGTCCTCGCTGAGATAGTGGCGGTTGTGACGGTGGTGACGGTTGTGGAAGGTTCGATAATTGAGAGTCGATTGGACGGGAGCGAAGGGAGGCAGTAGAGACCACTTTATGGTTACTCAGACCAACACGGGGGCCTATGGTGGTACCAGCCGGTCGTTTTGAAATGGAATCGTGAACTTTCTGGTTGGCCTGCGACGACTTTGGTAAGGCTGACAACAAGGATTTGGCTTTCGGACTTTTGCCGACGGTAGTAGGTTTTTGGGAAAGTGGAACTTGGCCCCTTGAGTTCGATGTAGACGATACCAAGCGGGTGCGACTGATGTTTATTACGGTATTGAACCGCAAGTTGCGATTGCGGGGCATTCCTCTGGATAGGATGAGATACACCGGCATGTTTCTACTTCAAATCCGGCACTAACGATACGATGGAGTGGAGAGATTGTTAGATTGAGATGGCAAGTATTGCTGTTTGGAGTAATAGAAAGTAGGGGGAGGCGCGAGGAAGATTTCCAAGGATGAGATGAGAGCGAGGGTGGATACGTCGGATTGGAGGGGCGCCCGTGCCGCAATCCGCATTTGGTACCCGATAGACGCCACCCGCGGAACTAAGGAGTCTGAGGTGCATTATTAAGACAGAGTTAGCAATGCGAGTAACACCAAGTGGTCTGGTTTGGTCATTGGAGTGTTTTCGTCACGCCCAAAGGGCCTGCTCAAGCCTATGACATTTAGGTGCATGTATGGCTGAATAGGGAGAGAGCTACGAATCATCGCATTCAATCTTGAGCAGCGCTTGAGAACTCTCCTTCGTAATACTAAAAGATCATTAGCGTTGGATCCAACACTTCAAACATATGTTCGGCGCCGGACTTTCAAGAAGGCCACACTTACCTCCGTCACGTTCTTCGCCAATTTGGTATCCCTCAACTTGGACTTTGCATTCGGTATCGTCCAGTTGTTGACTCCCCACCACCATCTCCGTATCCGCGCACCAGCGCCGTGTCCACTAAACTTGGTCGATCGGTTCCAATGCCGCCAGCCGTTCAGTAGGAGAGTCCATAGCACGCCTTGCGCGAAGCACATGATGACCTATGCCGCTGATTAGCGAAACTTCCCATATGCTCCATTCTTATCTCCTTGTACCTGATCTCGTAATGTGATCCATGCCACGCCCTGCCATCCCTCTGCTTGCTCGATGCTCTTTAGGTAGCTTTGTTCGAATCGAAGGTCTGGTAGCGGGGGCATCGTCTTCTGGCGCGGTACCGGATCTAATACGCTGACTGGGATCTCATCTTCGCCGACTTCCGAGCTATCGGGATCTGGGTGTTCATTGAGGGTGACGGGCTGCTTCTGGGATGCGGCGGTCGATGGGTTCAGGTCGTGGCGTACGGATGGGTGTCGGTTGATGGATGCGCCCTGTAGCACTGAGCCAACTTCGGTGGGTATATCTGATTCCATTGTGTCTGAATCTACGCCGCGACGTGAGGCTCGAACAGAGTGCTGAATGTGGATGCGCGGAAGGGAAGGTGGAGTCTTGGCGGTTGACGTCGGGGCGCGGTGCCTGCCTTTAGCGCGGTTGGACCCTAGCGGCGGCGACCAGCAGCCCCACGATATCGAGACACGACAATATCCTCCACATTCAATTCCTACCCCAGATAAATCGCCAGAATGGGTAACCAACAGTCCGGGCTGCTCGACAACATAGCCTCCGGGTCCAACTGTACGTAAGCGGCGAAAGAGGAGGCATACGCGAAGGGGCGTCTGCGGGGCTGAGAATAGCTTGCTAACAGCATGTAGTTGACCGCGAGGAGGTTGATCGCCTAAGGAAACGGTTTATGAAGCTGGACAAGGTGCGCGATCAGCACTACACGCGATAGCTGAATGCTTGGCTAACTCAGTTCAGGACAACTCTGGTACCATTGAGCGCGACGAATTCCTAGCCCTCCCCCAAATCTCCTCGAACCCTCTCGCAACACGCATGATCGCTATCTTCGACGAAGATGGTGGCGGCGACGTCGACTTCCAAGAATTCGTCTCCGGTCTCTCAGCTTTCAGTAGCAAGGGCAACAAGGAGGAGAAGCTGCGATTCGCATTCCGCGTATACGACATCGACCGCGACGGCTACATCAGCAATGGCGAGCTCTTCATAGTACTGAAGATGATGGTTGGAAGCAACCTGAAGGACCAACAGCTGCAACAGGTGCGTAGAATACGGAAAGGAGGCGATTTGACAGAGAGGTCTAATAAGCATGTAGATTGTCGACAAGACCATCATGGAGGCCGATCTAGACCGCGACGGCAAGATCAGTTTCGAGGAGTTTACCAAGATGGTCGAGAACACGGACGTGTCTATGAGCATGACCCTGGACCAGTTCTAAGCGCTTTTTCTATTACGAATGCGACGGCATCTCCAGGCACGATGGTTTCCTTGGCGAGGCGTTCATGGTGTTGCGGGCACACTCGGGGACGGGCTCGACAGTATTCGATATTCCTCAATTCAGACCCGACATCTTTGGTCAACTCTACTTCACAAACGTGGATGCTGGCGCGAATCATGACATATTACCATTGATCGCATTTAAAGATACTAATCTCGCATTAACAAGGACAGCTGCTTATGTTCGTGTACAGGCTCACTTCTTGTCGCCAGCTCTACAGGAACCTCTTCCCGATATATCCACCACCACCGAAACCCAGACTAAACCCCGGCATCCCAATCGCCGCATAAACAACAATAGCAAAGTGAATACCTGCTGCAATACACAAGCCCGCACCTTCCCAACTACCAGCCTCGATGCTCACCTCGCCCTCTCCGCCACCAACGGCATGATGGCCCAGCAGAAGTCCTATCTCATGCAACGCCTTCGCACTAGCCATCGCGCACAACGCGCCTGCAACGCCCAGCGCCGCACTAATCCCCAGAAGAAACTTCGAAGCCCTCTCGTTCCGGCCGCCTCGTTCGCGGAAGATGAAGTAGTATATCAGCGAGATGAGGAAGAGGGACGAGGCGATTGCGGGAAGAGGATATAAAGAGGATTTCTGCAGTGCGAGGGCGGAAGCGAGAACAGGGTGCGTCATCGGTATACTGGAAAGGCCTGGTGGTGTGTCTCCTGGAAAGCATTCCAATGGGCTGGTGTGGGGTTATCGCTTGGCGCCGTGGTGTTTAGTGGGAAGGATGCGCAGAGACCTGTCATACCATCAGTAACCTCAAACCTCGATGCGACACTAACGCTGACACGTAGAATGTCAGTCAAGAGATGCACATACCGAAATACCCTATCCGCACTGCAACGGGCGGCTGTCCAGCAGTCCCATTCTGCGATATCACAACCCAATACAGACTCTCGATGCCAGCACCTGTGCTTATACAACCGAGGAGGACGAAGAGGTATATGATCAGGGAGATGAGGGTGAAGATGCAGGCGAAGAAGGTTTTGTTTAGGATCCGGTCCTTGAGGAAGCTTGCTATGAGGAAGGGGAGCATGGTGACTGTAGTGGTGATACGTGCGTGCTGGAGTGAGGTATGAAGAGTAATGGGGGCTAGAGGGAGGTGATGATGTTCTGTGGTATTTATTGCTGGAAAATATGTGGTGTTCCGGTGATGGGGTGGCTTCAAGAGATGGGTGTGAACTCTTGGGGGTGTGATTTTGGTGTTTTGAAGGGGTGAGGGTTGTGACATGTCGGCAGTACAAGGCTCGAGTGAATGGCTCATCTACATCACTAGGAGTTTTCTTGTGTCTATGATAGGGCACAGATGCACTCATCTTAGCAGATGAAGATACTCTACCGAGTGCATGATGTCTGTCGATGTCCTTGACACCAAAGCACCCTTTCTTCTCCGCATACGATGCGCATTATCTGGAGCACTTCGTCAGAGAATATGAGAGACTGCAATGCGGCAAAAGAAACTGTCTGGTATGAGATGAATCTATGCGATAGGCAATGATATGGATGCCACGAGCGGGCTCCGTGGACAGCGCGATTGAGCGTATATCAGGACAAATCGTCGCGGTCCAGGACGAAAAACATGGTACCGGACGAACAACGTGTGTCAGCGAAAACAGGGCATATGTAGGTACTCAGCTGAATAATTGAAGGGCGTTAACCTTGAAGTTTCCAGTCTACGGTGCAATCATCGGCGTACGGCCGCTCAAACAGGCTTAACTCGGTCCCTGTATAGTTAGCGCAGATGCGCCACCCATCTCCCAAGCCTCTCTCCGCCCTGATTTCCCCACTTTACGCACTTTACAAATGTCCGTGAGTCCGGCATGGCGCCGCAACTCACATGTTGATCCTTACACTGATGTCTTTGTGGTAGTCACGTCATGCGCCCTGCCAAGGTCTCCCTATTGGAATCGCGGCCTCCCACTGGACGGGAGATTTACGAGCGGATATTTGCAGCCGCGTAGCTTCTATCGATGTCTACGAGCAGCTTTCTGTCGCTATGCCAAGGTACACAGTCACGGATAGGCAATGCCATTTCGTGTAGACATGAATCCTTCGACCGGGTTTCGTCCACATACTGACCATATAAAGCCTATTGAGATACCTTCAAATGTCATTATCAACTCTACCAACTCTCAGCAGCTTCTTCAGTTGCATCATCGCCTAGTCACTTCCACTTTTCTTCTTCACATCAACGTCCGTCAACCAGAACTCAGCCATGGTCACCGTAGCAGTGGCCGGAGGCACAGGCGGCATCGGCCGTACAATCGTCGAAGAACTCGTTCGACGAGGCAAACATCAAGTTTTGATCCTAAGCCGAAGCGTATGAACGCAAAACCCATCTGACTTTGCACATCACTAAATGACATCCAGGCAAGCAAACTACTAGGCCTCGAATCCGTGCCAGTCCTCGAAACAAACTACGATGACGTCGCATCAATGAAAGACCTACTCCAGAAGAACAACATCGAAATCGTCATATCCGCACTCCGCCTCTTCGACAAACCAGGCGCAGACTCGCAGATGAACCTCATCCGCGCCGCAATCGACGCCGGCAACGTAAAGCGCTTCATGCCCAGCGAGTACGGAGTCAACTACTCCCAGCCCGGCATTCTCGACGTGTATCCTTCCGCAAAATGGTGGCTTGACGCCGCCGACCTACTGCGCAGCTCCCATCTCGACTTCACACGCGTATTCTTGGGCTGGTACTCCGACTACTTTGCCATGCCGCATGTCAAGTCCAACATGAAACCTTTCAACTACGCTTTGGACTTCAAGAATAAGAAGGCGGTGCTGCCAGGTGATGGCAATTCGGCGGTCTCGTTCATCCACTCGACGGATTTGGCGAAGTATATTGTTGCGACGTTGGATGATGAGAAGAAATGGCCGGAGCTTAGTCCTTTTGCTTCTGATGCGATGACGTGGAAGAAGGCTGTTGAGTTGGCGGAGAAGGTTACGGGTAAGTCATCCTTACTGCCCACATCATGGCGATTGGGAATGAAGCTAACCTTTTGAATGACAGGCACGAAATGGGACATCACCTACGATACCATCGAAAAGTTGGAGAAGGGTCAAGCTACGGTGCTCCAGCAGCCAGAAGGCTCATACGAGTTTCCTCCGGAATTCATTCAACCATTGGTCGTCGAGTTCAGCATGTTGGCTGTACGTGTGAACATGGATGTCTCGAAGGATGGACTGAGAAACCATGAGTTTCCCCAGATTCACCCGATTGGTGTCGAGGAGTTGATGCAGAAGGCCTGGGGAAGCAAATGATGAGATCGGTGTGGTATTGTGCGGGCTGCAGTCGAGCTCGCAGGTAATCTTCGCCTTTTAGAGAACCGGTTGTACATTGATAGCAATCTAAGGATCAACAACAAGTCCGACGAGGCTTACGACAACTTGTATACGCATACGTCTTGAAGATGACGCTGACGGTAACCAATGGGAGAGATTTGATTACTGCTGATTCTGGCTGTTGGCCAGGCTTGGCGTTTCCCGTTTCCCGTTTCCCGTTTCCCCGTGACCCACTTCGTACAGCCGCCCCCGTCCGCCAGACCTCATTGTTCGATTCATTTCAACCTTCCGGGCAAACGCATACATTCAGACCCACTTCGCATGGGTATGGCCGCGTTACACAGTATGACTAGTAGCACTATATGTAGTACGAATGTCTTAGAGTTTCGTACAACGAAAAGCTACTCTAGGCGAGACTTGGATTGTCGACTGCCGCGTCATATACCGTGACGAAGCTTTGGTATGGGTGATGAAGCGTTGATGACTGTCGTGCTCGACATGATAGGATGCGATGACAAGAATCAACATGGTTAGGTAGGGGTAAGATCTCCCATGTACGAAATGCGTGTGAGACATACACTGAAATCGTACATCGTCGCTTTAGGTCTACATGTAGGAATACGAAGTTAGTGGTATATCTCAGGTAGTTCTTGTGAGATGCGTATTGTTGTATAAAGGCAGTGAGTATCAATGTAAAGTATATATCTCCATCATCCTCATTTCTCCGGTGTCGCTAGCCGGCTGTATCAAATCATTGTACCTCGAAATCGTACACCCGATCATACCAACTCCTGTCTTCACTTAGTTTGGCGATCGAATATGGTCAACATTGCCTCCGTCCTTACCAGCGCTACTGCCGCCGTCTCTCTCTTTAGCACTGTCATAGCTCACCCCGGCGAGACACACGACCATGCCAAGATCAAAAGCGAGATCGAAGCTCGTGGCTTGCGCGCTGCGGCAGCGAAACGTTCTTTGGCTGGATGTCAAGATACGCTTAAGCATCGAAGCTTGATGCAGCGTTCTGAAGAACGCCGCGCGAACACCATGGATGAGCTTCGTCGGAAGCGTGGAATCACTGCAAGTATGCTCTCCTCCAACGTCCCAACCTTATTTCCAACAACGATGGCTAAATCAGCATGCAGAGCCCAAGAAGTACCGTCGCGACTTGAAGCAACTCCAAGAATTCGAAGCGGTCAACCATAACATGACCGGCACGATGGACTACACGCCCGACACTCTCACAAGCGCCATCTTCGCCGCAAACACCTCATGCATCCTTACCCCCGAACTCACCTTCGGGCCCTACTACGTCACCGGCGAAATGATCCGCAAAAACGTAGTCGAAGGCCAAACAGGCATCGACCTCTACCTCGAAGTGCAATACGTTGACATCACCACCTGCGAGCCCGTCCCCCACCTCTATGTCGACATATGGAACTCCAACGCTACGGGCTACTACAGCGGCGTTGAAAACGGGCAAGGTGGTCTTAACACCACTTTTCTACGCGGCGTCCAAGAAACAGATGCTGATGGTGTCGTAGCTTTCGAAACCTTGTTTCCGGGTCACTACACCGATCGCGCGACACACACGCACCTTCTCGTCAAGTCTAATGTGACCGTCCGCTCAAACGGCACCACGGGCTCCGATGGCACTATCGCACATGCCGGTCAGCTTTTCTATCCTGAAGATCTCAAAGCTGAAGTTGAAGCTACGGAGCCTTATATCTTCAGTACGCAGCCGTATATCACCAACGACGACGACTTCTTGTCGGTTGTGCAGGCTGATGACGACTTTGATCCGTTTCCTCAGTACGTGTATCTGGGTGATGGGGTCGAGGATGGGCTGATGGCTTGGATTCAGATTGGGATTAATACCACGGCTGATCATAATGACGATCAGATGTTTGGTGTTGCTGCGGATTATCAGGCGGGTGGTGGTGTTGCGAATCAGAATCAGACGGGTGCGAATTTGATTGGTGGGCCAGGTGCTAATGGGACTACGTCGTCGGGTGCTGTTTCTTCTGGTGCTACCCCAGGGGCTGTTTGAAACTTCATTGTAGTGACTACTTGCATGACTGTTCTTGTCCTTTCCTTATAGAAGCCCCGCTCCAAGTACATAGATGCATTCACACTACCCATGCATCTATGTCAGTCAAAACACTCTTTACGCCTGCCCATTTACATACTTGCTTTCCCCCTGCTTTCAAAAGGCAAAATAAGCACCAAAAGACCCGCAGCAATGAACAACGCTCCACTAACATAAACCGGCGCACTCGTCTCCAAATCCGCAAACATCGCCACAATAGGCGCCATAATACCAAACACCCTATTCGCACTCGCCGTAATAGCATTTCCCGTACCGCGATCTTTGGTCGGAAAGATCTCAGGCGTATATGCATACAACACCGCATACATGATGTTGCTCATGAAGTTGTAGGCGCAGTTCCACCCTAGGAGGGCGTTGGAAGTGAGCGCCGTCGTGGAACACAGGAGAAAGACGCCAGTGAGGACTGTAGAGAGGGCTAGTGTGCCTTTGCGACCGATATGCGGTGTTTCGACGAGTACTGCGCCGAGGATGCATCCTGGTACGCCAAGCACGGCGATGATGAGACTGTTGCGGTAGGTGATGTAGGTCGAGCCGTCACCGAAGTCGGCACCGCGGGTGGCTTGGATATAGGGTAGGAAGGCGTTGTAGAGGGGGTAGCCGAGGCCGATGAATGCCCAGACGAGTGTGATGGTGCTAGTTGAGAAGGCTAGCTTCTTGGTCGCGAAAAGAGCTTTGACGTGCGAACTATCTAGCTTCTGGAGCTTGCGTTTGACAGCTGCGGAGGCAGTGCTGGTTTGTTGGACGGTACCAGGGAGGGCGAAGTTGTTACACGATTCCAGTTCTTCGATTGTGAGGCTGCATTCTTTTCCGTTGCGGCGAGCAACTTCGTGGACGATGCGAACAGCGTCTGTGTCTCGGCCTTTGCCCATGAGGAATTTGGGGGACTCGAAGATCGTGAAGAAGACGAAGCGGCCGATGAACATTAGTAGTGCTACACCGCCCATGACCTTGTAAAAGTGTTAGCGAATACTTTTGAAAGGAGGGGGTTCGGGACTGACAATCATGAAGTACCGCCATCCCATATTCTCTCCTCTTGTGCAGGTGGTATCCGTCTGCTGACATGTAAGGTTTCCAAGCAGCGGCCATGCCACAAGTGTAGCAAAGACCTGTGCGAGCGCCCAGTAGATCGACAGAATCGTCAACAGATACTGATGACTCCCAGGCAAGAACTCCAGGAAGATCGCGGAATCTACAGGCAAATTTCCACCTACACCCACAGACCACAACGCAGCAAACGTGCCAATGGCAGCGAAGTTGGGACTACTCGCTGCAATCATACCAAACACGGCAGTAATACCGATTGTGAGGTTGAAAGCCCATCGTCTTCCGAAGATATCGCAGCCGAAACCCCAGAAGACGGCGCCGAAGAGAAGCCCAATGTTTTGCGAGAGTGACAGTAGTGGTGGGCGTGTGGGGGTGAATTCGTTGGTGATGGGCGTAAAGATTAGGGATGTTACTATCGGCCAAAGATTGTCCATTGCCCAGCCGAAGCCGATTACGATGAAGAGCTGGGAGAGGTTAGTTCGTTAAATGGGGTTAGATGGAGATGTGGACTGGGTATGGGGAAAGTTCGATTGCGCAAAGTATATCCATGGTAGATAAGAGTGTTGATGGGATGTATATTTACCTGCCATTGATACCTGCCCATACCTATGTCTTGCATGGCCTTGTTCAGCATCTTCGCTTTGGCTTCGTAAACGGGGTCCAACGACCCATCTTCCAAAACGCTCACCGGCACTTCTCCATCTCTTGCAACCGTTTGGGCTGAGGGTTCCTTGTAACCGTGTGATTCATCCATCTTTACTGGCGAGTCGGACATGGTGCCTTTTTCGCCCTTTGAAGCCGGCTGCGAGCGCAAAGAATGTAAGAGCGAGGGTTAAGCTAGATCGCAGTAAACACAGACAGCCGGGTTAAGTCAAGGGAATAGGTGGCGAGGCACAACAGGCATTAGCGTCGCTTAAGAACTTAGTGAATGGAGGATCTTTAACGGAATGGTATTTGATTGAGCCAGTGGGTTGGGAAACTGCATGGTTAGTGTGACGACTTATAATGTTCCTTGTCGCGCAATCGGGCTTCCCGCTCGCGCAATACCACGCGGCGGAAGGTACCACCACCACGATGCGCGGGGTATCTCCAGGGCGAACGCCATGGTAGTACTGCGTCCATAACTCTGGTCCACACACGCGATAAGGAACTGAGGCCGTTGCGACTGTACTGTGGTAGGCGATAAGCGATGTCAAGATGGTTACGATCTGCAGTGCATGCGAGGTGGTGTGGGAAATGGCGGGCTAGGTAGGTCCTGACGGGCGTTACTCCGCGCTAGTATGACGTGCCGTCACACTTGAGCTGACCATGCGAGATCCACGTCAACCATGTTAGGAATCTTGAAGGTCGGTAGTCATTATTTGTTTGTACCAAGAATCTGCACGTCTATGTTTGGTGTACATAATCTCGACGTAAACACCAGCAATGCATAATGCAGGCCAGCGCAGTAGCATGACCACGTACCATGGTCTACTTCCACAACTTGCTCAAACTGGTCGCCTTGTCGTCGTGCTTGTTCAGCACCTTCGCGGTCGCCAGATCGAAGTCCTCCTGTGTGACGTGCACTCTCCTCTCCCTGAGGGCGTACATACCAGCCTCAGTGCACACACCCTTCAGCTCAGCACCTGAACATCCGTTCATCTTCTCTGCGACCTTTGTCAGGTTGATACCACGCGTCAAGTTCATGCTCCTAGAGTGAATGCGCAGAATGTCGGCACGCGCCTCGACGGTTGGCGGTGGGAACTCGATCTTTCGGTCGATACGTCCGGGTCGCAGGAGGGCGGGATCTAGAATGTCAAGTCGGTTGGTCGCCATGATGATCTTGATGTTCTTGGTTGGCTCGAAACCGTCCAGCTGGTTCAGCAACTCCAACATGGTTCGCTGGACCTCGGAATCACCACCTGAGCTGCCCTCTACTCGACTTGATCCAATGCTGTCAATCTCGTCCATGAAGATAATGCTGGGTGCGTGTTCTCGTGCCATGACGAAGAGTTCGCGAACCATGCGACTACCCTCACCAATGTACTTCTGTACCAGCTCGCTACCCGACACACGAATGAACTTGCAGTCGGCGTGATGTGCGACCGCACGCGCAAGCAGTGTCTTTCCTGTTCCAGGAGGACCGTATAGCAGAACACCCTTGGGCTGAGCGATACCGAGCGATTCGAAGAGTTCGGGATGTTGCAGACCCAGCTCAATGACTTCCTTGATCTCCTTGATCTGCTGGTCCAGACCACCAATCATGTCGTATGTGCTATCGGGCACCTTCTCGACCATCATGAGCGAGACGAGGGGATCGACGGACGAGGGAAGGAGCTTCTCGAGCTTGTAGGAGTCACTGAGGAGAGTGACGCGCTTTCCGGCGGTGAGTTTGCTGATATCTACGCTGTCCGCGACATCGACGACTGCCTTGATTAGTCTTGGTTCGGCCTACTCGTGAGGTCATACATACCATATTTGCCTTCAGGGTGAACCTTTACAAGCACCTTCTTGGTACCCATGACCTTTACTACCTCTCCGACGTAGGATCCCGGTTGCTGGAGAAGGCCGAGCTCTTCTCGCAATAACCGTACTCTTGAGTTGTAGTCATTGCGCTGGGCTTCAAGTCGTCTTAGCTTGGCCTGTCCCTGTATGATCTCGAGCTTCATCGTCTCGATCTTGTTGTGGAAGAAGGTATCGAGCGCCATGGCTGTGGCGGGCGCCGGCGGCGATGTTTAGGCTAGGGTGTTGTTTGAGGCGGGGTTGAATGCAAGGAACTCGTGTAGTGAGCGACAGCGAAGACGGTGGGGTAAAGGTTGTGGGTGAGATAGCGATGGCGACTGTTGCACCTTGGTGTTGACGCCCGTGACGGCGTGGAAGCTTCCGAAGCTGGCCATTGTCGGATTAAGGTTACGCCGGGCCACTAGCGCAAACGCGTTGGAGGAAGGAGCGCCTGAGCCCGAACACTGCAACGCGTGACTCTCTTTCACGTAACTACGAGTTATGTACTTTTATCAGTCACATTCCACTATCCCAATCTCGCCTTATATAGATGAGGCATCATTTAATTACCATCACGCTATTCTCACACTATACGAGACAAAGATAGGGCCGCCATATCCAGCCCCGAACCCTAACCGCAATCTCTCACCGCGCGATTACGGGCGCGCTTACCTGCCTTAGTCGCGCGAGCTCGAGAAGTATCGACAACGACTTGGTCGTCGTGCCATAGTTGATCTGCACACTCTGCTCCTCGGCCACGTTGTCCTGGATTCTCAGACTGCTCAAATGCTTGTATATATCTGTATCCAGCGGAGCATTGACCTGAACAGCGTAACCACGAGATGCATTGTTGATTACGATGCGTTCGGTCTTGACGGGAACTTCTCGTGGCGATGCTTCTGAGTCATCAACGAGCGTCTCGTCTTCGCTATCTTCGCCATCACCATGACCCGCCTTGTCGAGAGCCTTGAGATCAGCCAGAGTCAATGGGACAAAGCCGTCATCTAATATCGTTAGTCTGGATACATCATCGTCAGCCGAAAACTCACTTGATGGACGTCGGCCCTTGAGCAGTTGTGCAATTTTCAGGCCCTTGCAATCCTGGACAAGCTCCCGGAAGGACTCGTCGATCCGCTGTATAGCTTCCGCATTTGCTACAGCTTGTTTCCCCTACATGCGTCACATAATCAGTCAATGTCTCACACGATTCGAGGCTCGAAGTTCTTACCATGGTGCGGACTACTCCTACGTGGGCGACTTGAATGGACAGCACGAGCACAGCCTTCACTTGGACAAGCTCGCCCATGATGGCGCTCAGCTTCTTCTCGTCTGCTGAGCCGTCCACCAGCTGGCGCGCAAACTGGATCATCTTACTTGTGGTTGACGGAACCAAAGTCTTGATCAAGGCAGCCAGCCTCTCCGACACGTCTTGTAGTCGAACCAGCTCCGCAGCAACAGTGGGTGTCTTCAGGTCCTGCTCATCGTAGATCATACCCATGATTGCCTTGATACTTTTGAGTTCGCTATAGTGTCGAGCCAGGACCTCAGGAAGACCTTTCTGACGAGCGTTCGCATCGCGGAGGCGTTTGAAGATTCGGAAGACTTGCTCTACGAGTTGAGTAGTAGCTTGGATTGCGGATACAACAGCCACCGCTTCAGCCTGTTACGACAATTAGCCTTGCCACCCATACAAACGAAGTGGACTTACCATAGTGTTCAAGGTATCGGTTGAAATTCCTTTGGAGAGATAAGAGCACAAGTACTAGGAGATTGCGCAGACAGCTCGAAGGGTGCGAGACAGCACTTAATGGCCAGCTGAACTTACCCAGAGCGTTATTGGGGCGCAGTGTCGATTGCGAGTTGACCGTAAGTACGGTTGGTCCGGTGACAGTTCGCAGCGTGCATGCAAGATAGCGACCAGTGATTCGCCCCCGCGAAGCGATCTGCAGCCATAAATGCACCCCAAAAGAACTCCAAGTTCGCACCGCCATTGGCGTCCAATGAGGATGGACATCTCTCTGAGAGAAGCGGTTGAAAGCTGACATTACTTGTGCATGATGCCACGTCGTCCTTGGACCCCGGACGGGAAGACGGTGGAGGTTGCGCCTAACTCCAATTGCCGCTTCTTGTCTCTTCGCTTGTCGGTTTAGCCAGACCTGACCGAGCCAGCGCCGAAGAGGAGATCGAACTGGCGATGCTTAACAACATAGAAGCGATATATGGCAAAGTCGTCTTTCTCTTCTTCCGGGTAGCAGGCGAGATTGACATAATCATTCGTGGGCGGAAGGTGGATCTGGTCTGAGCCAGCTTCTACCGTGAACGAAGAACTCCTGTATACTACGAGGCTCAGCCGACGCACGATCCTCTCCGCGATGTAATTATGTGGGAAATCGGGTCGAAACATGGCGAAGACTGGGTGCCGACTGTCATTCTTGCTAGGCTTGAGGATCAAGTTTTGTCCTTGATGGACAGACCGATCCGAAGCGCGTATCTAGTCGTCGTCAGCCGCCACCTTTCAAATGGTCACGCTGGGTGCTCTTACTGGGAGTTGTGCAGTGAACGTTGCGGACACCTTCGACGGAGCTGAACTCTTCAACACCTTGCGTACGTCCGTCATTGCTATGCATCTACTCGGTAATGCTGATTGGCTCACAGGGTGAACGATCTTCGGATCCCAGCCATACTGATAATTTACAACTAAAGTATTGCTTGGAATTGTCAGGAGCGTGCTCCGTCCATTGTAGCGGAGTTCGACTTACATGCTGAAATTGTAGACGTTGTCTGCCACGGTGCCATTGATTTGAAGAGCATTACCGCTGGCGATATTCCGGCTGACAGACGCTACTCCCGTCATGACTTGAACTTCCTTCGACGTACGATTAGCAGTAGACATTTGCGACATGTTCGACGGCGCCCACAATATTCGCTGGAGAACATCGGCTTTGAGGAAACTACCTATGGGGTTGACCACACTCGGATGCCTCAGACATACGATGAAGGAAGGCTGTGGAGCTGTGATTGGGACAAGCCTCTGGCCAGCCGAGCGGGGTACGAAAAAGCCTTGACCGGTGTGCTGCAGGCTGCATACGGCTGCCTCAAGGTTGCTGGATGATGTTCTCACAGCCCTGTATCGACGTGCAGTTCCGGTCAACTCGCAACGGCAAAGCGTATTTTCAAGCGAATCATGACCCTGGATACCGATGAAACGATAAGCGCTTCTTGGTTCCTGTGCGAATCTTCGGCCTGCGCGCCCATCATCTTCTGCCTTGCCGCGAGACTCGTGCTACACGCAGTGCGCTTCGCAGGATCATCAATTCCTTACCTCCTCACGCCACGGCAACCATGAGCAACAATGGACGATTGCACCTTAGCTAGCGCTGCTTCCCGCAGCGTCCCAAACTCCGTCCGTGCGACATCAGTAAGCCCCACCTAGATGCAGCCCGATCGCCTCGACTGCACATCATGGATCGCTATCGCATACGTGAATGTGTCGCACAGCTGGTCGACCATAGCCCAGAGCAGGCCGTAGAGATCCTTACTAGGTGCTGTGAAGAACGGGAAAGAACCCTCCAGGAAGTGTTCTCGTCCCTAATACAATCAAGACCAAAGCACAACGAGTCTTCCTTACCTGTCGGGAACAACATCAATGTCACATTCCCACCACGTGTTCCGCCCTCTTCACATGGATCGCAACACACTGGAACTCCGCCTCCCCGCCAGGGGCCGCCACGCCGCTTTCCCTCGACATCATATCCGATAAGCCCTCCTGCTACAGCATCATCAGTAACATCTCACTCTACCAGGGACGAAAACAGCTCGGGAGAGTACATCCTGCTTCCTACTCTCGTCGGCACCAAGGTCGTAGACCACAAGGTCCGAATGAGACCGGCCTTGATCAAGCACAGCGTGATACGCGGTGACGTTGTTGGCAGACGACAACTCGAAGACTCTTTCAATATAAGTCAGGCCGGTTTAACCCACGTGGAAGTGCCACATCGCGTAACCGGAGAACTTCGACTGGTACCAGTCTCATGCGCCATTGAGCTTACATGGCGCCAACCTCATTCCAATTCCACACACGAAACTTTGTTTTACGTGGTACCAAAAGAAACGCTTGACATAGACATCCTTCTTGGCTACGACGATTCGGGTCAAGAGATTGCAGGTGTGTATACAGTGTAGCGATAAGTGGATTATGCGCTTTGGCTGACTAGATGCGCGCTTCTGCCAGAATACACACCTACTATTGTCCCTCAGTCCCCAGCTCGGCAACCTTCAACTTTCCAGAATTACAAGCAGGAACTCCGCCCCCTTGCCCCGACACCACCTCCAGCATCTTTTCATCGTTCGGCAGTAACCTATGACGGCGCAAGTTCCATCCACCGTCATGACGACCGATACGACCCACATCAGGTGGGAGAGCCACCTATCTCCCGGCAGCAGTCTTACGCAAGAAATATGGAGGGCCAACAGTCTTCACCAGCGCCTACGGTCATGGATACGCATATCGAACATCCACATCCGCTTCGACCTAATTTTGGCCCTGGCGCGCCGGCTCGTGATGCTGATCCTAAAAAGGCTACTGATAGGATCAGATTGAGTGTTATATGGGACGCGACGACTCTGAATGTATGGCTAGATCTCAAAGAGTACGGCGAAGACTTCTACCAAGCCTTCCAGCAACAGGCTGCAAAACAGCGCAAGGACATACTCGATCGAACCACTATGAGAATTCAACTAAAGAAAGACAAAACCCTACCATATGAGGAAGCCTATCCGCTCTCTCTTGATGAGGACGAGTTGGAAGCAGATTGGGAAACGACCTGCGAATGGTTGAACGCGAACAAGAGAGACAAGATGCCGCATATCTATGGGGTAGTTGAGACAGATGGAGGGTGAAGGATAAGTCTTTACCCGGCTTCTCAATCTGTAAAGCCATACGCATTATCACACCGACATCGAGCGCTGCTTGGACAGACGAGCGCTTCCGAGGAAGTTGTCGAGGTGCTACCGCTCCCGATGTATGCGACGGGGCAGTGTGCGTCCACATGCAACACGGTTATGAGTGTTAAGGTCAGTGTAGCCTGCAAATTTAAGAAGAGATCAGTAAGAATTAACGAGGAACAGTGGGAGTAAATGAGGCTCACGGCACGAAAAGAGGTTGCGATTGACATCGCCCAGAACTACACAAATTGCCTACTTACGCAAACCTCTCAAACCCGTCCAGAGAACTATCTATATATTCGGGCACATCAAGTACAGCCAGTGATTTCGGAGGAGGCGAGAAGCGCCTCGACCATGAGGAAGCTGTCAGAAGCACCCTTAGAACACCACCAGATGTTTCTTCATCTGGCTTGTTGAACGATTTGCCCAGCTTCCTTATGCTCTTAACGAAGTCATCCATTTCGTCCTCCCACTTTGAATCATAATACTCGATACCGTCGATCAGGATAAACATGGCGCTATAGTCCTTCCGCAGATCTCGTAGAAGATGCGCGAGCGCGTCCGTGTACGTCTCGAGGTCAAGCTCTTTCATCTGCGCCTTTTCGTCGTGTCCAAGAAATGACAGTAAAGGCCGCCCTCTCTCGCCAGTATGCCCATCTTTATCGCACATCGCGAGCAGTTGGACGAATAATGCTCTTGCCATGATCGCTGGTCCGGAGCTTACGGTGCTTCGTCCACAGAAGAAGGGAAGGACCAGCGTGCGCGGCGCCTGTTCCAGCTTCTCGTAAAGGAGTGATATGAGGAAGCTCAGCGGCGATGTTGGCTCGAATGCGCCGTGGCCCTGGACGCACAGTATCTGAGATTTGTCTGGCCCTCCCAACCAGTCTCGGAACTCGGTGGTGTTGCCCACCCAACCGGCGCGGTTTTGGAATTTGGTTGAGCTGTTCAATCCATGCTTGCGCACCATAGGGACTTCTGATACATGTGTATGCTTGGCCGGCTTTAGTCGCAATTCTTCCATAAATTGCTGCGGGGTGGTAGCTGCTTTGGCAACTTGCTCTTCAAGCTCCATTATCCTTTGTTCTAAGCGCGAGTCAGCATGTGGCCTGCAGTAGAAGACTTCTGACTTACGCTGACTTGCGGCGTTCAGTTCTTGCTGTCTCAAGACTTCAGCATAGCGCAATTTCTCGTCATGCCCTTTCAAAAGTCAGTGTCAAGAAACAGGGACTCAAAGCTTAGACCGAGGGCTTACATTTGGCATTTTTCACCACGTCGTCTAAAGTTTCCATAAGTGCATTCATCCCTTCCCCATATGTCTTCATTGTGTCTTTGTACTCCGCCCGAAACTCAGTCAGACTTCCATCAATGCCGTGCATTGTTGAATTAGTTTCAAAGTTTTGGGCATTGGTCTGGAGTACTGTAGAGAGTGTAGCGCGTTGAACCCAGGCCGAATATAATTGAGTCTCCTCCAGGAAGCGAGTTTTGGACTGGCGAATACGTTTGAGGCATTCATCGATCGCCTTTGAGTAGTTACTGTTCTTCGAGATACTGTCCCTGGTGTGTTCTATAACGTCAGTACTGAGTTTAGACGCAGTCGTCAATTGCGTGGTCTACTCACTCCAGGAAGACTGTGTATACCATCTAATAATTTCCTCCAGGGCCAGAAGGAGATTGATATAGATGTCGTTCACACACAACTGTATGGTGTTACGTCCGGGATAGAGTGTCTGGTATTGTTCGCACTGATTGACAATTTCGGGCACTTCCTTCAACAGTTCCGCCATCTTCTCGCGGATTTCGGCATGTTGCGTCATGGCCTGTCGTGGTGTTAGCTCCTGACTTGTGGTGTACCTAAGTAATTGGCTGGAAGTCACGAACCGTCAAAATCAATGTTAGCCCTCCACAAAGGGTTTTATATTCCCCATCAGGCAGCAGGCCGACAAAAGACTGTATAGACGTCGCGTTATCTCCAACGCGTCGGAATGCGCGGCGTATGTGTCCCCATGTCGTATCATCCTGATGGGAGTTCTTTACCACCAGGTCTATGTGCTCAGTGATCTCTTCCCAGTCGTGATAGGAATTCAAGTCAAAATTCGCTATCGCCTCGTTTTTGGATTTCTTCTTCGATTTCAGAGCTGCGAGGGCGTGGGCGAAGCTCTCCTTCGTTGCAACTACTCTCAGTTTGCTCTCCCGTAATGCTTCTTCTTCGTGGTCGAGCACCGCCCCACCAAAAGCGAACGGAGCAGCTACGAACTTTTGAGAGCTCGGATCGAAATTGCATGGCAGCTCGCCTTCGGCATTGCGGAATCCTGCATCTCGATTTTCGATGAAGTCGACTGATATGGGCTGCATGGAAGGCGCGGGGAACCCGCCGTCGGCCCGTTGGTGGGGCGGCATGGTGCCTGCGCAGAATTGGCTGCGTAGAATCGCACTACTTATGGTCGCCGGCAGCGCAAACGAACCGCCTATACTTCATGCCATGAACTTGGGCGCGTACTTCAACGCCCCCGAAGTGGGCGCCGGCAGATACCTGAGTTTTTCGACGTGGCTGAAGGCCCCAAGGCTGACATGCGCACTTTGCCAATGAGGTCCGCGGGTACTACACCCACAATCTGGCGGTTCGCATCTGGCGTCCAATTCCGGCGACTGCATTCAGCTGCCAATATCGACGCGGGATCCTTTTGGGGGCCATGTAGCTGCCTGCGTTTTCGTTACTGCAAGCTACCCACAGGTGCCGCCACCGCCCTTGTTCCACGCATCCGATCATGGAACAGCTCGTAGGTAAAACAAGATTGCTTACCCGCCAGCATGCTGGAGCACGGCATTCTGACATGGCGTTTAGATAGGCTTATTACCATGCCACTCAGACGCAGTCTCATTCCGCGTCTTCTCCAATCACACCAAATCGCCCCCAATGGCCGAGGATTAAGGGCTTGCCGACGCATGCTCTATAGACGTCACTCTCACGTCTTCTAGACCTTTTACAACTGTAGCTGGAAACGAACGATTGGTGCAACAATCAGAGGTGGTCGGGGATTGAACTAAAAAGGGAGGTATCACTCGCTTCACCGGTTATTAGACTGAGCTTTGCGATGTTAATGCACGCAGCGACTGCAAGGCGTCATCTGGACTTCGGGTTCTGCTCTCTCTGTACGATGGTGCAGGATAAGGCATTACCAGATAAGCCATCTTACTAACTGGTCCGAACATGAGTTAACCCCACATTGGTGAACACCTCTCACTCGTGCCCTCTACACGCTGTCTGATTCATCGTCGACGTTTTGTATGCGGCGCTTGGACAAAGTTCGCTCAACAACTCAGGTCAGATTCATGCGCCACAAGGTAGGTCTTATTTCGGCGCATCTACTCGAAGTATCGTCATAACATAAACATCAAGAATAACAGAGATTTTCTAACATTCGATCAATCCAGATCGTTTCGTATCATTGATAGATTTGGAAGAGAGGTCGACGCTGTAATGACTGGCTCTGACGACTCAGGAGTGGTACTCTCCGCGAGTGATGAACAAAATGAACCGAGTACGTCGCACATCTCCTTCTGCTTTGTCAGTTGCTGAATACACGTCAGGTGAGATTAGCGAGTCCGAAAAGGTCCCTACGATGACTTCAGACGATGTAGTCGAGTCTCGCAGCGATGCGACACCTACTAAGCTCGACGAGAGCTCAGCAGCACCGGCGCCAGAGATGAAGGACGACAAGTCGCAATCGGAGGATGCCAGCGTTGCAGAAGCATCCCCTGACGACAAAGGCAAGGCTTCCATCAAATCTGAACATAACGACAACGATGTTTCAGACGCCGACAAAGAAGACCTCAGTGACGGTACGGATGTCGATGAGTATCTGGAAAGATACAGATCAAAGTACGACAACATGACTGCGCGTATCAAATTAGCACCGAAACGCGTAAAGCAGACTCACCAGTATACGTCAATCTTGGAAGAAAGACTTTCACTCCTGGAGGATAGAGCCATGGCTTTTGACAAGAAACTGCGCAGAATAGAAGACGGTAAAGACGAGCTTCCACCACCGCCTGATGAGGATGAAATTTATCTGAAGCCTGAGCTCCACTTTCTACTTTCGAAAGGGCTGAAGCCCCTACCTGGCGCACCAAAAGTAAACGAGACTCACGAAATCGACGTTTTCGTTGGGGAACCAGAAGTCCAGAAGGGTGAGAGGTTTCGACGACGAAAGACGCAGTCCACCGCCTTGGAAGACGATGGTGCTGATGAACAGGAAGTCGCATTTGATCCAGCCTCGGACCGCACACCTCAATCCATCGACGATAAAAGGCTTAAGGATGAAATCGGAAAGGCCAAGAACAAGCAATTTCCAAACCGAGTTCGTTTCAACGCCGAAGGGGTGGTGTATCTGTTCCGGAAGTACCTTGGCGGCAACAATGGCTCATTAGACGATATCGTGCTACGGCCTTTCAAGCCTCTACTTCAGAACAAGGAAGAGATACTGAATGTCATGTTTGAAGTGATTTCAGTGCTGACTAGAATCGTCAATCAACGCGGAAGGAAGGGTGCAGAATTGGCCGCAGATCCCAAGAGTTCCGAAGAAGCCAAAGATGTAGACGCTGGAGCTGAGACACAATGGCCTAATGTCATTCCCGCCTTGATAGACAAACCTGGGCCCATTGTGTTACAGGAGCTCAGGAATGCCCCTGATGCCATCACAACAGAAGATTGGGACATTGTTCTCAAAGAGCTCGATCTTTTCGACGAGCAAAACGGGTGCTCTGGGGAGAACATGAAAGGCTGGCCAAACCTGGCAGAGGTTGAAAGATCCTTTGGATGCTTCAAGAGCCTGCTGGATGATTACCTGATACCTGGCCACCTGGAATATCGAGAGCGTAAGGCCAAGAGAGTGCGGTTCTGTGATCTATGGCATGTGTTTCAAACTGGAGACCTCGTGGTTACCAAACGCTTAGCGAGCTTGGACGAGACCGAAACCCAGGATCGGCTAGGTATGAGGGTTCTCATGACAGCTGGTGGCCGAAGGGTAATCATGTCCAAACTCCCCGCCCCGGTCTTACCATCTTCTGTCAATCTATCAACCCCCAAGGACAGGATTGAACCCATAAATGGTGTCAACCCATTCTGCATCCATGCGTATTATCTGGACTTCAACGGCTCCAGAATGGTTCCTGTACGACGACGGATTGTGATTGCTCCATACAATGGCGAACGAAACATCTCGGATCTAGAGGTTGTTCCCATCGAATATGCGACTTCTGCATTAGATTCGCTCGAAAAACGAGGACAAAAGTTCGTCAAGGCTGTTACAGCCACCACGGCGCCTTATGTGGATTGCAAGGGTCTTGAGCTTCGCACTCGTGAGGAGCTCAACGACAGAGTCATCGTTGATATGAAGAGTTATTTTGGTACGAACCCTGGCGAGATTCCATCGTACCAGGAACCAGAAGAGCTTGACATATCCGAGACTAGCGATTGCCCGCATGGAACGGGCTGCAATTACGCGTGCCTTTCCTGCTACCACCGAACTACGATTGTGCATGATCAAATGACAGATCTTGCAGCCTATCAGGAATACATTGATGAGAAGCCCGTGTTCAATCCGCTGTCAGAGACGCCAAAAGCTGGTCTCATAGAGCCTTCGGATTTCAGCATTTGCCATTACCGTGTCTTTGCCTACAAGCTACGTTCGCGTGAGTGGGGTAGGTCTAGAACTCCATCAATGTGTCAAATTCGCGCTGATACTTAGCAGTGCATGTGAACGTCAAGCATCTTGAGCCACCGCAAGAGATCGACAGAAACAGAGGGTTCGAGAAGCTAGTCCTGTCGGAGGACCACAAACACATTCTCGAGTCTCAGGTCCGAGAGCACTTCCGTAAGAAAGGTTCACAAGCCGTTGGGGGAAGTTCGGAGAATGACATGGACTTGGTTCGAGGCAAAGGACAAGGCCTCATCATCCTTCTTCACGGTAAGCACCCTCTCGTAAATGTTGAAATATGTGACTTACCATACTTAGGGGCTCCCGGAGTTGGCAAGACTGCCACTGCCGAATGCATTGCTGATCTGATGGAGAAGCCGCTCTATCCTATCACATGCGGCGACCTCGGAAGCTCGGCAGAGGACGTCGAGAAGAATTTGAAGAAGCACTTCACGCTGGCTAGCCGCTGGGATTGCGTGATGCTGCTAGACGAAGCCGATGTCTTCCTCGCCAAAAGGAAACTTGAAGATCTCCAGCGCAACAGTATTGTATCGGTATTCCTCCGTATGCTGGAGTACTACAAGGGTCTACTCTTCCTGACTACCAATCGCGTCGGTACTTTTGATGAGGCTTTTACATCCCGAGTGCATATCTCCCTGTTTTGTAAGTGATAGCAGCCTGTTTCAACAATCGCACTAACATATCCTAGACCCCAACTTCGACAAAGAGACCACGCTTAAAGTGTGGAAGACTTTCATCGACCAAACCAAGTTTGTGCTCGAAAGTAGTGGTCGTACCAATGTGACCGTGGATGCGGAAGGTATCGAGAAGTTTGCCAAGAAGCACTGGAAAGAAAACAAGCAGGCTCGCTGGAATGGGCGACAAATCCGCAACGCTTTCCACACTGCAGTCGCTATGGCCGAGTTCGGTGCACGAAGTCGAAATGCTAGCGAAGACTATGACGACGGCAAAGACGTGAAGATAAGCGTTGGTAGAACGGAGTTCGAAAAGATTGCCAATACCGCTAAAGAGTTTGGTGTTTACATGACCGAGACAATGGGGGATCCTGACTTCGTAGCATCGAGAGATGGATTGAGGAAACAGCAGAGGGAGCCGAAAGAGAAGACGAAAAAGAAGAAGAAGAAGAAACAGTCCAAGTCAAAGAAGCAAAGCGAATCGAGCTCTTCAGAGAGCGAGAGTGAGGACGAGGAAGAGTCTGACAGTGATTAAGAGGCTGGAAAGGAGGTACGCAAGTGGACACTCTTTTATAGTGCGGTTTCCTTAATAAATCGGTGGTCTTTGCAACATCTCTTATCTCCAATGAGCCAACTGCATGTTGCCCAGCGTATGGCATAGCGCGGCAGTGTCCGTCAAAGGAGGACGGCGTGCAGCCTTTAAGCTTCGGGGCTCGCGTGCCTGGTCTGAGCGCCTCACGTCATCCCTCTCACTTGCCGAGGCATCGCGTCGCTCGCGCACCTCAACTTCATTAATCTCTTTGCACAACCACGCACCACACCACAGACCCAGTTTGAACGATGTTCAGAATGCATTAGATTATGCCATTATCCCGACGCTATATACGCCTACGCAGAGCTAGTAGCTGAGGCGACAGGCAGGCTAACCGGCATGGGAGTGCCGGAAGCCGAAGCTGTTGACGATGAGCCGCCGCCACTGCCACCACCACCGTTCTTCTTCTGGACGACCGCGGATACGACTTGACCAGCGGTGTTGGTCACGATGTCGACGAGCGCGTTGAGAGGCTCGTAGTTGAAGGTCTTCTGTGTCATTCCCTGGCCAACTTGCTTTGCGCTTCCAGCGACTTCGGTCATGTTGAGCTGTGCATTGGGTTAGTGGTTGTGAACCACTTTGTTATAAGGGTATGCTTACCTTGAAGTTTCCGACAATCTGCTGAAGGGCGTCTCCGCCGCTTCCCACGACCTCTTGGACGATGTTGCCGAGGTTGTCGACTAAGAAGTTGAGCGTCTTTCCGTTTTGCGTGATCGATCCGAGCTATATGCTGTTAGTTGTTTTCTGACATCGAGCCATTCGGATACTTACAAGGCCATCAACTGCACCGATCACTTCCCCGACCAAGTTGGTGACGTTTCCGATCAAGCCGATCAAGAGAGGGTTCAGGTCCAAAGAGTCGAAGACGCGCTCAACGATAGAGACCAGGTTGCCCAATCGTACAATTAACTCGAGTTCAACATCTACATCAGCAATAGTGATGTTGACCTTCTCCACGGCGACCTGGACACCAGCATTGATCTGAACGAGACCGGCGACCTTGGCGTTGAGGTTAAGATCTGCCTGAAGCTTCTCGACACCTAGTTCAATCCTTCCAACGTGCAGTTCAGGGACGCGGAGAAGCACATCTGGGGGCGAAGATCCAGTTGGCGCAACCTCTGGCGGTCTCGTAGTAGTTCCGTTGCCTTGCGGTGGGGTGCTGCTTGTAGGTGCCGGGGTTGAAGGAACGCCAGATGACGACTGCGCAGAAATGAGTGTAGCGAAAGTAAGAAAAATGCTGATGAGCAGTAGGCGGATAGAGAACGACATGTTGGCGTGAGCGGCGACGACAGCAACAACAACGGCAATAGTAACGAGCGAGACAGCCGTACAAGTATCAGCAAACCACGACCCACGTACCGGTTATAGCGAAGGAATCCCGTTGCAAATCAGCGGGCACGGCAATCATGCACATGGAGTATTGCAAGGATTCCCATAATGGTAATCTCGGGTAAAGCCCCCTATGCAGCCGCGCAGGGGTTCCTACAAGGCTGGATCGCACCATCTGGAGCAGTGCTAAGGCATGAACATGTAGAAATCCTGATTCCGCATACGAACTGCCGGTTTTCTGGATTTTCTATCGAATCGCAGGTGTGGGAATGGATCTCCTTAATTTCCGTTTTTCTTGCTAGCGTAGGTGGATGACGGGTAATGGAAGATGGTGCTATGCACATGATCCTTGCAGGCAACTCACTACTACTCCACCCGATGGTAGTGTTAACCGTTGTGCCCGCCCGTCTTTCTTGTCGATTGACGACATCCATTGAGTTGTTGCTTCCTGTCCCTCGCTCTTTGTTTAGCAGCACGTCGACTCCCGACCAGTCTCTCTTTCAGCACCAGTCAAGATGTTGTCGATACTACCTACCATCACACTCCTTTCGTTGCCGTTCCTCGCTGTCTGCCAATCTGCTTCCGATGGCTACAGTGGCTACAAGCTCGATGTGCGAGACGACGGTGACCCATCCGCTGTTCTCTACGAAACAGAAAACACATCCTCATCCAACATCTCCGCCTTGAGCCCCGTCCCAGACGTTCTCCTCAACGCCTCCGTTCACGTCGGCGAGATCTTCATCGGTGTCGACAACCTGACCGCAAAGATCAACCTCGACGCCCAGGTCCTCCAGTTGCTGCAGTTCAACGCCGGAGTCGACCTATCCATCGACAAAGTCACCCTCCTAATTCAAAACGTCACAGCAAAAGTCTACCTCGAAGCCCGTCTGGGTAATCTCGTCAACATGGTCAGCGACGTCCTCGACAGCATCGATCTGAACCCCGTGATCGCCGAGCTAGGAAACGGTCTTGGCTCCATCATCAACGACACTGCTGGTCTCGTTGGCGACGTTGCCGGTGGCCTTACTGGAGGCGGTAATGATACCTCTGCTCAAGCCAAAGCCAAACGCGACCTCGACTTCCACCAATGGGACCTCCGCAACAACATCCTCTACTCCATCAACAACTTCGAAGGCAACACCAACAAACGCCGTGTCCTCGCTCAAAATGGCGATATCGTAGAGCAAGTCCTCGATAACTCTGGTACGATCTCTGCAACCAATGTTGTGGGTGATTACCTCAAGAACATGCGGTTCAACGGGTTCAACGAGAGCGTGACGTACAAGGGCGAGGAGGTCTGGGAAGAAGAATATGTGTACGAGCCTTTTATGGGTCTCTACTCTATTTCTGGTGTGTTCAAGAGCAAGAGTAATGGCGAGGTCGTTGGCACGCAACTTCTGGCTGAGGCTAGAGGGGGCGGAAGCGCGAGTATTGGGAATGAGAAGGCGTAGGTCTTTTGATACCCACCTGCACAATTACTGAGAGTATTTTGCGAATGGAATGTAATGTCTGAACTCTTGTGCTGTTGTACTCTCCATGCATGCCCGTCTGATGACTCTCCCACATCCATCCATCCCGATCACGTCTTTGCTTTTCCTAAGCATGCACGCCTTTCTCATCTCGCTCTGCATACATAAACCAAAACGGATTCAACTGCGTACTAGCACCAGCCACCGCCAAGCATTTGTTCACGCAACGGTTAAATTCCCATGAACAATCGCGTGGTCCGTTTCATGTAGACGTCCGTGCGAGCACACGATGCTCAGGAACCGAGATTTGACATGTATCATGCAGTCGGATATGCCATGAATAGGCCTGTGGGCCTAACGGTCGAGATCTGGGATCTGGGCTTTTGGATCGACGATGATGTCACGGGGGACAGGAGTCACGGATTAATGCGATCTTATTCCGTGAAATATGGCGGGGTGCAAGCATGGAGGATAATGATTGCGATGCAGTGTTTAGTGCAGTATGAACGGTTTGCTTCGGCCAAAGCGATGGATGACGAGAAAGGTAAGAGATGAGGGACGGATGGGACGGGAGAAGCGCGCAAAGGTTGGAACTTCATAAAGTGCTTCATTGTTGCCTGCGTTCATTCGTCGTTAAAACGCACCTAACGCCATGCCATGCTGTTGCTGTGAGATGAGATGAGAGTTTTCCGTACCGACCCCTAACGCCACATAATGCTCAAGACGATTTGTTTCCAACTCTTCGTGCAGCACCCTGATCCTCCCTACCCCTCGAGCCTACCCATCATATTCTTCCTAACCTTAGTGTTGACCACCCCTCCCACTCCAAACGCCGGCACAATCCTACAAATCCTCGCCGCAGCACTCTTCGCCCAATCCCTCAGCACGCGCCCCGCCCTGCCATCCACACCACCAACCCTAGCCTCAGGCCTGTTGTACAAATCCAACCCGAGTAAATGCAAGGGCGTGCTCACAAGCTGCACAGCAGCAGGCGTAACAAATTGCGCAACACTCAGCGCACCAACATATTTCTTGACCTCCGTGCCCATGCGCTCGTCTACCTTGGGCGCAAGCAGCGGTGGCAAGTTGAACGAAGCGAAAATAGTAAGGCAGTCGCGGACGGTGAAGAGCGCGAATGTAGGCAGAGGAACAGGTCGTGGCGACGACCCCGGCGCAGCGAAGAGCCGGGTGAACTGATTGTCTTTATACAGACACAGTGCCAAATTTGTTGTGCTTGTAGCGAGGAACTTGCTTGTACCGCTCGTTTGCTCTTGTAAACCTTGCGTGGGCTTAACCGTCGCGGACGCCGTGTCGATGCTGTTGGCGGTAAAGTATGTACCGAAGTATAGACTGAAGATGAGGACGAAGGGTTTGCTGCCGAGGAAGCGGTGCGGTTTCGCGAGGAGTTCGATTGCGCTCTTTTTCAGACTCTCGCCGAGACTGTTACGCCCGCTGGCATTTTCGATGATGCCTTTGTCGATCATGGTTATGATGGGTGCGACGAGTATGCCTGCGGAGCCGGCGGAGAGGGCGTCGACGCCGATGCGTAGACCGAGTTTGGACGTGTTCCATTCGTGGGATGTTTCGTTCGAGGTGCTGGGTTTGCGCATCGTGGGGAGCGGTAGGTTTGGCTTGGGGATCGCGATGGAGGGTGTTGCGACTTTGGGTACGGTTGTTTGGTCTCTGTGCTCGTTGGCTGTGTGCGGTTTCATACCGCTGGCTTGTTCTTCCCCCATTGCAGCTTCCTCCGGTGACTGATAAACTCTCTCTTTGTGTGCTGCATGGAATGCTTGAAGTTTTGACGGTGCGTTTTTCGCGGGCGCTTCACGCTTTACGACTCTTTCGACAGTTTGCCCGTTGTTTGGACCAGGGCGACAGAAGTGTCGTAAGTGTACAACATAGGACAGGCTGTTGTTGAGGGATTTGATACCAGCCGCTGACGAAGATATCGGAGTTTACCTGAAAGTTCGCCGGCGAACAAACACCGACGTCGGAGCAAGAGCCGCCGAACGGGTATCACGCGCATTGATTGGTGCACGTCATCGGGCCCTGCATCGTTCGTCGCTCATAGCCATGTTCACGATGGGTAGCATCGGCTGAGACATGTGGGTGTTTACTGCATGGCATGAGGAATTAAATGCAGGGTCCAGCGTGGGGAGCTGGCCACGACTGACGATCCGGGGTATGGTGGGTTGGGATACAACACTTGCTCTCTCGCTAGGTGCACAGTCTGAGTACGTGATGACGGAAAGTTCTTGAGGAACTGATAACTGAAGGGCAGAATTCATTTGTCAAAATTTATCGGACAAGTCATGGTAACTTCGTTTTTGCAACCAGGGCATGCCTACTCAACAAGCAACTCACGACTCATGCTGTTTCTGTCTCCCGGGTCGGTAGGCTATCGCGGCTGCGAGACGAGCAACTTAGCCGAAGCCAGTTTCCGAAGAATACCGATGTCGTAAGTATCTAGTTGATGGCGTCAACTAGCGACCGGTGATGTGTACTGGGAATGCGGAGATGGGGTGAGGAGTGGAGGCGGTGTGAGATAGCTGTAACAGAGCGACCAGGTGATGCGCATGCGAAGGTCGGTCTGACCCTTGACTAGTGTGGTAGTCATGAACATAGTATTCGCCTCGAAAGCTATCTTAGTCTTCTCAACAATTCGCTTGCATGTGATGCGCCTAAACTCCAATACACCCTAGGAATCCCGCAAGGGACTGTTGCTTGTATCTCAATTCCTCAGAGCACGCAGCCTCTCGGTAAATGCCTCTTCTTCTTGCTCAGTGGGCCCAACCTTCGTCTTTGCCGGTGTTGCTTCTTGGAGATCTTGTTGTAGATCCACGCCTGCCTTGTCTGCCGCCTGCGCCATCAGACGGTCTACGTCCTCTTGTGGTGTGCCGACTGCGGTGGCAGAGGAGGTGATATCCTGGTAAAGTTCGGTGGCGGAGTCTACGTTCTCGAACTGCTTTTCGAAATCGACCATGACGGAGGCAATCTAGGTGTTGTCAGCGCTGTCCTGATCCCAATAGCTGTGGATGTCGCATACCCTCTCAGGACTCATAGACTTCATAGCCACGTCTAGACTGCGGTTGACCTTCATCATGTTGCCTGTAATCTGTCGCATCGTGACGGCGGTTTGTACGCGGCCTGCGACGGCATCGACGCGCGAGGCGAGTTGTAGCAGGTTGAGCTTCTCATTCTGCTTGCGGATGGCGTTTCCGGCGTATATGCGGGCGATGTCGTTGTGGCCCTGCTTCATAGCCTGAGATGGTGTTACTACGCGTTCTTGCGCTGAAAAGACATGATACCAACCTTTTCCAGCTTGGTCTTCTCAGCCTGCTCCTCCTTGCCAGCTTTGAGCGCCTGCCTGTTCAGCGACTTGGCCGTGAACTGAGGGGGGTCAGCGTATGGTTAGTCAGCGCCAGCACACAGTGACTGACCTTGAGGTTAAAAAGCGCATTCTCGAGACCCGACATGGCGTATAGTTCGGAGGGTATGGTTTGTGGAGCTGTGCTATGGGTAGTGGTTCGGGAGATAGGCGGTAGTGGGCAGCGCTGTGGTGGGATGCGGCTACTGGCCACGCGGGGTGTGGGCCCAACCCCGACGTCATTGGCCGTGCAACACGGGCGCGCTTCTTGTTCTCGGCGCGCATTCACAAAGAAAAGAAGTGAGGAAATGGACTATGGTGGTTGTCGTTGTGACACGTTCGATTTCGTGTCGCAGCCTCATGGGCTTTCATCGCCTTTGAATAACGCCTAGAACTATGCTGAAAACATGGTGCATATGTGCCTGCCCGCACCCAGAATGCCTTTGATGTGTCCCTAATCTAAGCCAAACGCCTGCCTCGCGCCTTCGCAATGCCCACGTAACGCCGTGCAACTCGAGCCATTATTCGTACAAGTCGTCCATGAGAGAAAACATCACTGCGCGGGTGGCGCGTTGAACTTGCTCGTTGCGTTCTTGAATAGCTCTTCTTGCGCAGCGATGAGCTGCTCCTCGGTCATGCCGCTCTGCTCGATCTTGGTCTGCTTCTTTTCGCGATTCTGCCCCGCGTTAGCTGGTGGTCGCGTCACATGCGCCGTCGCAAACGTACCTGCTGCTGCTTCTTGTAGTCTTGCGCCACCTCGAGAATGGCTGGGACGTAGTCGCCAAAATCTAGCTCTTCCAGGGCAGCCTTGACATGTTCGCAGGCTATTGTCTTTTTCGCGTCCTTTTCGGCGATCTCGTTGGCTTCGGAGGAGATGAGGGTGATGAACTCAACGCAGCACTCGATTAGAAGGTCGCGCGAATCCTTTGCAAAGGTCATGCCAGGCTCGCTGGCCAGGATGTCTTGGACAATCTTTTGGACGGTCGCTGGCGCGTATTAGCATTTACGAGGGATGCGAGTCTAGAAATGCCGACCTTTGGGCAGCGACAAGTCGTCGTTGCCGCCGAATTCGCGGTCAGACATGGTGGGTGGATGCGCGGCAGCGTGTGGTGTTGGCTTTGAGCTTCGGTACTGCGCGCGGTTGCAGCCCTGCTAAGTAAGAAATGCAGAGAGGCCGGGGCACGGGCCGGCTGTTTGGCCGAAGACCCTTTGCCTAGGTATCTGGCATCATCGAGCGTTCACTGTGTAACCACGGCAGTCACCCAAGATACAGCCATGATGCACGAGGCTTACTGGGTAACGCGAGTTTGCGAGGAGTGATGTGTGTCTCTACCAAATCGCGCCCCGACGTTCCCCATTTTTATCTTATCCGCGTCATATCTTCCAAAAGGAGCAGACGTACAGCTTACTAACAGATCTAGGTGCAACCAGCAACAAAGGATATAGAGTTCTTCCTATGGACATGCTGGGCTGTGTTTGCTCGAGTCAGCCGCAGCCTTCACATGCATCCAGTCACGGTACCGGTGTTGCTCGATAGCGACAGTGTATCCAGGGCGGCGGGCGCTATCGCAGTGCTATCGGGCCATATGTCGCTAACGTCGCAGTGGCATCACGG